CCGCGCCCCAGGAGGCGCCCGAAGGACTGCCCAGGGGTGGACTCCAGGGCCTCCGACTGCCTCTCCATCTGGCCTCGGAGCTCACCCGACCTGTCAGCGATCGGGGCCCTGGCTCCTACCGAGAGCCGCCTGGCGGGTCCCGCGTCCCAGCCGATGACTGCGGTTGCTGCTGCTTGCGCTCGTCTGCCGCAGGTTGCTGCTGCTGCGCGCTACTGCTGCTGCTGCCTTCTGCTGGACACTGCTGCGTGCTGCTGCTGCTGCTGCTTGCTACAGATTGCGGCCTCTCTTGGGGCCTCTCGTGTGTTTCCCACCTCGCGGGGCCTGTTGGGCAGGCCTATTGTTGTCTCAATCACTTCGGGGCTATATCGGGAGGTCTCGGGAAATGGGTCTCTCGGTGGCCTCTTGGGGGCCTGGCTCTCTTAACCCATCGGGGGGCATTTTGGAGCCATATTGCGGGCTCTCTGTGGCCGTCGTGGCGCCGTCCTGGGAAATCTGGAGGCTATCTTGGTCTGCCTTATACCCATCGGAACGCCATTTGGGGAGTTCTGGGGATCCTCTCGAGAACCTCTTGGGCGCCGTTTTGGGAGGTTCGTGAGGCCCTCTTCGGAGGTCCTGGAACTCTCTGAAGCCCCCTGAAGCCAAGATGAACCAGAATAAACAAAGCAAATACACGAAAACCCTAGTGTATAATTTGTCGATGCTGGTTGACTGCGGCCTCTCTGGGCGCCTCGTAGAGCCTCTCGTGGAGCCTGTCGTGAGCCTCTTGGGTCTCTGGGGCAATCTTGGAGGCCTGTTGCGCCGTCTGCAGAAGATATACTCGGCCGCCTCGGAACGCTCCTGGTGATCTCTTGGATCGCAGATGGCAACTCTTGGGCGCCCATTGAACTAATGGCAACTAATGCGCGGCAGTTCCTTTGCTCGGAAAACGGATCGCCGTTATAAGATCGTTTCGCAGTTCCCCTACACTTGTTTCGGAAACATTACGAGGCAGGTTGCTGCCGTATGCTGTTGGTTGCTGCCGCTTGAGCCTATTGTCGCGCCTCTTGAGGGCTCTCTTGAGGGTCTCTCGTCCGCCTCTCTATAACATGTGTCTTGTGATATTGGAGGCCTGCGGGGCCGTTTCGGACCCTCCTGAACCGGTCGGGGCACAACGAGGCTGCCTCAACACAGCGGGAGAATACATCGCTGGGGTCTACACGGATTCCCACCAACTCTTTAGGGCGTGAATGGTTTAGGGGCGGTCCTCTTCCAACCCTCGTCTTCCCCTTCGGGGATGGGTTTATCACTGATCCCCATTAATCAACACCCCCTCCCCCAGGCGACCGGCAGCCAACCAGGACCAATGAGGGCACCCCCTCCACCATCCCTGCCAAAAAACAATGTAAAATCAACTTTGGGGCAAATCTTGGGTCATCATCGAGGGGGGCGCGAGCACTTTATATCGTGTTTTGACAGGGACGGCGGGGGTGCCCGCATAATGCCTGCTGCGCGCAGGGCCATCATCCCTGCCAAACACGATACAACATGCAGATCGAGACATAGTCTGAATCGTGCGCGGGCACCCCGCGATCACTGTACATTTGTTTTCGACTAGGACGGCGAGGGTGCTGGCATATTGCCCGCAATGTGAGGCCCACCAGACGCTATGATGACCACCCCGCCGCGATGGCGCACTGGTTTTCGACAAGGGTGGTGGGGGCCGACACGCTCCCCGATGTGGACTGCCACGTGCACAGGGGCACCTGGCACACTCTGCACGTGCCTGGAACGTGGCGCACCTGGCGCGACTCGAGCATGCGGCACAAATGGCGCGCGTAGGCGCATCTGGCGCACCAGGCGTGCCTGGCACGCTTGGGCCAAAGGGGTGCCTGGCGCACCTGGCGCGCGTGGCGCGCCTGGTACGCCTGGCGCATCTTGCCCCAGCGTTGCGCACACAGGGCCCGTTTTGGTTCCCATTAGCTGTCCACCCAGAAACTACCGCTGAACATGCTGCGGCTCGGGTGCTACTTGTATGTTGGGAGGGCGGGTGGGAATGAGCGAGACAGCTTGCTGGCGGGGAGGGTGCCTTGATCACTGTTCCTTATACATATACACCCCCTCCCCCAGGCGACTTGGGGCCAACCCGAAACCATGCCGACACCATGCCGACACCATGCCGACACCATGCCGACCCGCTCCCCACCATCCCTGTCAAAAAAGACCATACAAACCGCACTCTGCCTCCGCATTTGGAGCATGCGCGGCCAACCCGATGCGGCCCCCCCCGACCATCCCTGTCAAAAACCAATGCAAAGTACACTTCGCGGTAAAGTCCTGGGTCGTGTTCGTGAGACCCACGAGCGTTGTTGACAAGGACGGCGGAGGCGTCAGCATATTCCCTGCTGCGCGCAGGGCTACCAACAAAAATTAGCCTGACGAAGGACCTAACCACATGCAGCCGCGAGTACCGCGAAGGATATGAGGCGCTGCACAACGCCCATGCTGTTTCCGAGTCCTACGCTTGCCGCACAGGGAACGAGATCATGGGGGAGGACGAGGCGGGTATGCTTTCACACAGGCAAGAAGCGAGGCACAAATCTGCGGGCGAAATCCCGTGCCTCTCTATACAACCAGCCCGAGGATCCCACAGCAGACTCGAGCCCTGGGCACAGCGTGGACACGGACGTTCGCACGCAGACGCCGGCACCAGCACATCCAAACAGGCTGCCCCGCTCGGCCTCTCAGGTAGCTCCGGCTGCCGCTTCCTGACCGCGCGGCCGCCGCTTGCGGCGGCGCGGCCCAGGAGGCAGCACCCCGGGGAGAAGGCGGCAGTGCGCAGGAGGGACTCGCCCCGAGCCCAGGCCTGACCCGCGGGGGGCGGAACTTAGGCCGCCCCCAGGTGGGCGGCGCTCGGCGACGCAGGGGCTGGGGGAGCAAAGTCGGCGGCGAGCCCAGGGGGGAAGTGAGGAGGGCCGGGCCTTATCACTTCCCCCCCTCGCTCGCCGCCGAACAGAGGCAACGATGCCGCCACTCCCCAGGCCTCTCCCGGGGCGCGCTCTGACCAGGGCTTCGAGGTGGCTTTGGCTGTGGCGGCGAGGGCCTCCTTGGAGGCCCGCGCAGGCGAGGACGAGGCGAGGGCTGCAGCACCGGCACTTTTTGCTCCCCCTCCGATGGGGCACGGCACCTCGGCAGTCTCGCGGCTGCCAGTCTCTCGGGGGCTGCTATAAAGGTGCTCCTGGGGCCCAGGGTGCCTCCAGCTTTTCGCCCCCTCCTGAAGCCCCTGGGGCCCTCTGGGCCTTGTGAGGGGTGCTCTGGAGGCCGTGGGAGCCTCCTTCCAAGCCATGCGACACCCTGATGTATTCAATGCGGCGACCCCGAAGCCCCGACCCTTTCCCCAGGGCCTGTGTGTCATCCTGAGTCGGTTTGTGACAGCCCAGAAGTCCGGTAACGGCCCCTGGAGGCTAGAAACGGCAAAAAAACTCCCGTTGTGATTTTTTGAACGACGCGATCATGACTGGCTTGGAGGTCCTGGGTGCACCTTCGGCCAGGGGCACTTCTAGCAGCACCCGAGGGCCTCGGCTACCTAACTAAAAAAACGGCGCTTACAGCGCCCGAGCGAGGCGCAACGCGCGGTTATCTTCGCGCCCGCGCGCCGCCGTCCGGGAGAGAGGGGCGACCCTTCGGCCCCAGCTGCGACGCGCGGGGCGCGATCATCCGCGCCCCCACCCCGCGGTGCCTACAGTCAAGGCATGGCCACGGGAACGTTAGGGAGGAGGAAACGCACCACAACCACCTCCTGAGCGAGGATCATGAAAGGGTCTTACGCAAGATGACGCAGCGACATTACGCAGGGGCTTACGCGGGTCGCCAGCGAGGCAAGTCACAATGGAGACGAGGAAGCCCACGCGCGACCTTACGCGAGCAACTCACGCGCGAACGTCGGCGCAGTCAGTCCCGTTCCTGTCGCATTTCCTGTCGCATCGCTCACCTGGAGGATGGAGGCAGAGGGTGGTCAGTGGCGGTGGCGGCGTATATCGTTTCGGACGCTTCCGCGGGCCATCGTGCACACCCTGACGGGCCAATTAACACTACCATATGTAGGGCGAGGGAGAAGGGAGGATGGAAAGGTCCTCCTCCTCTCCTCCTCCTCCTCCTCCTCCTCCTCTTCCTCCTCCTCCTCCTTCTCCTCCTCCTCCTCCTTCTCCTCCGCCCTCTCCTACCTATGGTCGCGGTGGTGGAAAATCGACCCATCACACCCGCTCATCCCGCAAACCAGCTCATCCCGCATCCCCCCGGGTGGTGGTGGTGGTGGTGCGCCTCCTGCTCCTACACAAAAACGTGGACCCAGGGCCCCGCGGCGATACCAAAAACAGGGGAGCGACGAAAAAGACAGGGCCTCCAGCGAGATGGCACGGCGGCCTTACGCCGCGGCGCACGCGAGCTGCCAGCGCGGCACGCCAGTGGAACCGAGGGCGCTCGCGCGCGGCCTTGCGCGGGCAGCTTACGCGCCAATTTCGGCGCAGACGACCCCGTTTTTCTACGTCGCCCAAATGGCGTTCTCAGGTGAGAAGCCCGAGCACGAAGAAAACAAGTGGGGAAACCAACAGATACAGATGCCGCTAATCACTCCCCGGACCTCTCCTGGGGTGCGTTCTGACCAGAACTTCGAGGCGAACCCAGCTATCGCGACGAGGCCTCCACGGAGGCCAGAGAAGACGAAAACGAGGGCAGGCTAGCGGTATCGGTACCTGCCCCCTTGAACAAGGGTACGCTGGGTTTCCTAATAAGCGTGGGGGGATACGCCCCCGACGGGGGTCAACCTCGCCTCGTCGTCGCGCCGCGACAGGGGTCGGAGCGCCTTCGGCGCGCGGTGGCTGCCCGCGACGGGGGTCGACGTGCGGCTGTCGGCGAGGGTGACACCCCCCCGACGCTTGTCAAGAAACTCGGAGTGCCCTTGCAAGCCTAGAGTTCTGAATTCACCCTCGTACCAGCTGCACACCAAAACAGAACAATTGCGGCGCTCACACCGCCATGACCCGAGCCGAGGACGAGGCGTCCTCTGCGGTGTCCGGCGCCCCCGAGCGCGGCGACATCTGGCCGGCGACCCACGTCCACAGCGAGACCTGGAGGGCCAAGAGCGAATAACTCAAGGCGGAAGTGTCGTTGCAGTGTTCGGCCCCAGGAGGCCATCGCCGAGCCCCAGAGCCGTCCAAAAACGTCTCAGGATGAAGAGCCAGCCCCGGGAACAGGTCGAGACCTCTGGGGGCCCCGCATTGAGAAACCCAAGCCATCGGATGTCTGGGCTCCCAGGACTTCTCCCATGTTGCGTTCTGGCGGGCATTTTCGGAGAGGATCCAACCGTGGCGACAAGAGCCCTCTAGGACGAGCAACGGTATGGGTAATTGTCCCAGACATCATCCGATATGATTTTCAATCCGCGGCCCTAGAGGGCCCGACCGCTTCTCTGGGCGTATGGTTGTTGCCCCAGGCCAGTTTTTGATGGCCCCAGGACCCGATTGTGAACGAGACCGAGAGGCCAAGATGGGGTAAAAATCTGGCAAAACTCAGATCGTCGGATGTCTGGGTCCTTCCCTCGAGCAGGGGATCGACTACAGAATTGCTTTACCCCAAAATTGAATTTCTCGTCGGATCTACGAAACAAGATAGGCAGCATGTTGGTAGGTCAATGGACGACAGTCGTATGTTCGCAAATTCGACTGAAAAACAAAGTCTGGGGTAAACCACTTCCGTGGTCGATCACCTACTCGATTTCCTCGTCCGAAGGCCAGGCCATCCTCCTGCTTGGCGCTGCCAGCTGCCGGGGCACCCGCGGCGGAAGGCATCGACGTCTGCGCTGGCGGCCTTAGAGAGGAACAAAGACAATATTATCCCAGTGCGACCCTACCTAGGAGTTTGAGCATCTACATTTACATCAACACCTGCATCTATACCTACATCAACATCAACAGCGAGACTCACATCTACATCTACATCTACACCTACATCTACACCTACATCTACATCTACATCTACATCTACATCTACACCTACATCCACATCTACACCTACACCTACATCTACATATACACCTACGCCTACATCTACATCTACATCTACCCTTTCGCATTGGTTGTGCTGTTGCGTTGCATTGCCTTTGCTTTTGCTCTTGCCTTTGCTTTTGCCTTTGCCTTTGCTTTTGATGTTGTTTTTGCTGTTGCTGTTGCGTTTCTTTTGCGTTTGCTTTTGTTTGATGTGGTTTTTGCTTTGCCTGCGCACAAACACACACACACACACACGCATGTGCTCGCATTCGCTCACCGGATGTGCTTGATAATGCTCCGTATCCGGTCTACACCACACGACTTGGCATTGAGCAGTGCTATGCCATGCTATGATATGCGATGCTGTGCTGTGCTATGCTATGCTATGCTGCGCTGTGCTATGCTAGGCAATGCGATGCTATGCTATGCTATGCTGCGCTAAGCTATGCTATGCGATGTTATGTTATGGTTGGCTATATTATGCTATGATATGTTATGGTTGACTAACCTATGCTATGCTACGCTGTGCTAATGCTGCGCTGCGCTATGCTGCGCTATGCTGCGCTGCGCTGCGCTGCGCTAAGCTCAGCCAAGATATGCTAAGCTAAGCTAAGCTAAGCTAGGCTAGGCTACGCTAAGCTGAGCTAAGTTAAGCTAAGCCAGGCTAAGCTAAGCTGAAATAAGCAAGGCTAGACTAAGCTGTGCTAAGCTAAGCCAAGCTAAGCTAAGCTAAGCTAAGGTAAGAAAAGCTAAGCTAGTCCAAGCTCAGCTAAGCTGTTCTAAGCTAAGCTAAGCTAAGCTGAGCTAAGCTATGATATGCTAAGCTAAGCTAAGCTAGGCTAGGCTAGGCTAGACTAGGCGAGGCTAAGCTAAGCTAAGCTAAGCTAAGCAACGCGAAGCTACGCTAAGATGAAATAAGCGAAGCTAAGCTAAGCGAAGCTAAGCTAGGCTAGGCATAGCTAAGCTAAGCTAAGCTACGATGAGATAAGCTAAGCTAAGCTAAGCTAAGCTCAGCTAAGCAAAGCTAAGCTAAGCTAAGCTGGGTGAACCCAAGGTGCGCAACTGGGGGAACCGCGGGGCGGATACTGGGGGAACCGCCCGGGGCGCTTTCCACTGCCCGGCCCCTTTAAGCCCAGAGAGTAAGAACCCTTCTAGGCAGAGCCTAGGTAGCGAATAAACAGAATCGGTGGTTCAAAGATGGGGTCCTAAGGGATGGGGTCCTAAGGACGAGGCGCTTCAAACAACCTAACTCCACCCTTGGATCCCTTCCTATCCGTAGGTCCCCATCCCTCAGGACACCCCCTTTTAAAACCACCGACACAAATTGACGGAGGTCCGCGCAGAATTCTTGGACTGGCGCTGGACCCCCCTCCCTGGTGCGCGGAGCGCGCCGGGGGCGGCGCCAGAGGCGCTGCCAGGGGGGCCCAGCGCAGATCCAAGAAATTCACGCGGAGCGCCAAAAGTGTATGTTTCAAGTCGGGGGCGTCCAACAGAGGGGTTCGCAGATCATTGCCCGAGGCATGTGCGCGGCCCAAGGGAAGCCAGGAAACAGTAGACGTACTGAAAGAAGGAAGAGGGGGCCATGAGATGTGGAAGATACAATGGCCCCCGCCATGCTATTCAGCCTCCTCTGGCCTACCCCTCTGGCCGGCTCCCAAATGTGGGGAAGCCACAAGGTACCGCCGATACCGCTACTCCCCGGACCTCTCCTGGGGTGCGTTCTGACAAGAAGTCCGAGGCGAATCCAGCGGTGGCGACGAGGGCCTCACCCGAGGCCGAAAGATGGGAAAACGAGGAAAGGACACCTCCCGTCGTGATCTGTTCATAACGAGAGGAGGTTGGGGTCTTCCTCCTCCGAGAGTGCTCCTGCCGTATTCGTCTCTCTCGAGGCCTGGCCCGCGCCCCGGCCGGCGCCGGCTCCTGCTCTGCCTGGTCGGTGCACCACTCGTGCTCCCGGCGCGCCGCGTGGCCCGGGTCGCGGTAGAGGCACAGCTGGTGCAGGTTGCAGCTGGGGCACAGGCATTCGTTCAGCGAGTTGAGCATCTGAGCGACGAAAAGAAGGAGGAGAAGGTGGAGGAGGAGGAGGAGTAGGAACAGGAGGAGGAGGAGGAGGAAGAGGAGGAGGGAGGGGGGAGGGGCGAGGAGGAGCAGGAGGAGGAGGGTCTTACGCGAGAAGACATAGCGACCGAACGCCGCGGCTTACGCGGACCGCCAGCCCGACACGCTACTCTTGGAAACGAGGTCGCTTACGCGCGGCCTTACGCGGGAAACTTACGCGCAAATGCCGGCGCAGCTGGACATGTGTTTCTACGTCGCCCGCCTCCGAGAGGAAGCTGCATCTGCACAAGCATGTCCACTCTTGGACGCCCGCGCAAACTTCGCGGATCGGCACTGAGCACCTCCCCCCCTGGCGCGCGGAGCGCGCCGGTTGCGACGCCAGAGGCGCCGCTGGGGGGGGGGAGCCAGCGCCGATCCAAGAACTCCGCACGTGCCTCCGAAAGAGGATGCTTCGGAGCAGGGCCAGCTGAGGCAACGGGAACTCGAAATGAGTCTCCGGACCCTGGGCCACATGCGCCAAGTTCCCGAGCTGCGTCCAGCCGTGGCGGCGAGGGGCCCAACTACCTCTGTTTCACCCCGGCACTCCTCAGCTAGAGGTAGAGGAAACAAAACTGCATAAACATGAACTGTCGACGGTCCGCGCGGATTTTTCGGATCCGCGCTAGAGCCACCTCCCTGGCGCGCGGAGCGCGCCAGGGGCGGCGCTGGAGGCACCGCCAGGGGGGCCCAGCGCGGATCCAAGAAATCCGCGCGGACCGTCGAAAGCTTATGTTCATGCCGTCTTCTGCTCTTCGATCAGCGTCCCTTCGGGCACCACGAACAAGCTCAGCGGCAGGAAGATGAGCGCGGCGGTGAACATGTCCCTCGCCATGCGGTGCGCGCGGACCCACGCCTCCAGCGGCATGGCCAGTGGAGCCCAGCAGGCGCTCACCCGCGCGAAGGCCTTGGGGGAGAGAAGGAGGCACCGATGCCGCTGCTCCACGGCCCTCTCCGCGGGTGCGCTCCGACCATCAATTTCGAGGCGAATCCGACCGTGGCGAACAGGGAAGCGTCGCGGCATCGGCACCCGTTCCTCATCTGAGGCCTCTGAGCGGAGCACGCCCTCGCCGAAGATGATCGCCGCCGACAGGAGGGTGAGCTTGAGCACCTGAGGGAGAGGAGGGGGAGAAGGAGGAGGAGGAGGAGGAGGAGGACGAGGAGGAGGAGTGAATAGTGAGGAGTGAGGAGTGAGGAGTGAGAAGGAGGAGGAGGAGGAGGAGGAGGAGGAGGAGGAGAGCGACAGAGGCGGACCGGCTCAGGGTGTAAGCATCGACCTGGAGTCGGCGATGCATCGCCGACAGATCGGCGATCGGCTCCCGACTGCAACGGCGCTCGTGGGGCTACGGGGCCCCCATCGGCGAGGGGTGGGCGATCTGGAGTCGATGCATCTCGGGCGGATGGCAAGAGGGGGTGACCCACATGAGGGGTGAAGGCAAGGGTCCTAAAAGAACCTTCGGGGTCATTTCGGGGGCCCTGCTGGCTCCGGAAGGGGACCTAAAGGGCCCCTTTGGGGCCCTTACTTCACCCCGATTTGGGGCACCCCCCTTAAGTCTGTCCCAATTTGGGCCACCCTCCAATTTGGGTCACCCCCCTAAAGGGCACCTTTAGGGCCCTTACTACGCCCCAATTTGGGTCACCCCCCATGACCACCCACCCGAGCATCCCCCCTTAAGTCTATACCCGTCCCCGGTGACGTTCGGGCAACAATTCCTGCCCCCGGCAGCCGTTTGGGACGATCGGGGCAACCCCAGAACGCTCTCGACGAGGCACAGCTGCTGGAACGCACCCCGAGGCTAGAAAATCACCGACAACCTATGAAAACACCCGAAACCTAAAAACTCGAAACGCCCCCTCTCCCCCTGAACTGTGGGTTCCCTTTGATAATGTTGAAGACTCTGGGAGGCCAAATTAGGCCTGCGTAAGTTGGGCGGGCATGTGGGGTCGTTGGGCGTACGTGAGAAGTGCAAATCCTGGATGCAAATCCTGATGCCAGCCCTTTTGAGCAAATCCTTTCGAGCATGCCTGAACTAGTTCAGAGGGGTTGTGTTGGTTATGATCGTTTGGCATGGTCGGTCTGGCATGCCTAAGCGAATGGTGGTGTCTTGGTAAGAATCTCTCACACACACAAAAAAACTACCTGAGATTTGAACGCCCGAAGTGGGCACGGACAAAAAATGTTGTCCGAAACAGACAGCGGCCGCTGTTGGGCAGGCAGCCTTCTGTCTCAAATGGACAACGCCCGCGGCGACACCGACGGCGAGTCCTGTTCAAAATGAGCAACTACTGGGGAAACCAAAAGTTACTGATACCGCTACTCCCGAGACCCCTCCTAGGGTGCGTCCTGACCAAGATTTTGAAGCGAATCCAGCGGTGGCGACGAGAGCCTCCCAGGAGGCCGAAAGAGGGGACCACGGGCGAAGGGTAGCGCTACGTAGGGGTATTTGTTCCTCCGGGGATCTGCGGTCGGTCTTCGTACCCCTGCTTTCCGTACCCATCTCGATCGTACCCACCAGCGCTTCCCCCGAGCACCACGCCCGCTAGCAGAGCGTTCGTCCAGCCCACGTAGTACACGTCCCTCAGGGCGAAGAACAGCTCCGCGGCGTCGGCGCCGACCACCAGCAGCGCCGTGGCGGGCAGCGGCACGCCGAGGGTGCAGCCGAAGAGACCCTGCACCCGCTCGCTCACTGGGCCCGAGCGCTGCCGCCTCGGGGCCGGCGCGGCGGCCGCAAAGTCCTCCGCCCTCCTCACGAGGCAGGGAAAGCTCGAAAACCGCAAGCTTGCAGAGCTCCGCGCGGACTGGTTATCCTCCTGCCTCTCTTCGGTTTCCTCTCCTTCTCCTCCTCTTCTTCATCCTCCTCCTCCTCCTGCTTCTCCTCCTCTTCCCCTCCTCATCCTCTTCTTCTTCTCCTCCTCCTCCTCTTTCTCCTCCTCCTCCTCCTGCCTCTCTTCGTTTTCCTCCTCCTTCTTCTCCTCCTCATCCTCCTCCTCCTGCTCCTCCTCCTCCTCCTCCTGCTGCTCCTCCTTCTCCTCATTCTCCTCCTCCTCCTCATGCTTCTCCTCAGCCTCCTCCTCGTCATCCTCCCTTCTCCTCCTTCTCGTCCTCAACCTCGCCCGCGTCCTCCTCCTCCTCCTTCTCCTCCTCCTCCTTGTCCTTCTCCTATTCATTCTCCTTCTCCTCGTCCAATCCTACTCCTCTTCCTCCTTGTCCTTCTCATGTTCCTTCTCCTCCTCCTCCTCATCCTCCTCCTCCTCATCCTCCTGCTCCTCCTCCTTGTCCTTCTCCTGTTTCTCATCCATCTCCTCCTCCTCATGCTTCTCCTCAGCCTCCTCTTCATCCTCCGTTTCCTCCTTCTCCTCCTCAACCTCGTCCTCCTCCTCCTCCTTCTCCTCCTCATCCTCCTCCTCCTCCTCCTCCTCCTCATCATCATCATCATCAGCATCAACATCATCAACATCATCATCATCATCATCATCATCATCATCATCATCATCATCATCATCATCATCATCAGCATCATAATCATCAGCAGCAGCATCAGCATCAGCATCAGCATCAGCGTCATCATCATCATCACCACCACCACCATCGTCATCATCATCATCAGCATCATCAGCATCACCAGCATCATCATCATCAACATCATCATCATAATCATCACCAGCATCATCATAATCGTCATCATCATCATCAGCAGCATCATCATTATCATCATCATCATCATCAGCATCATCATCATCAGCAGCAGCATCAGCATCAGCATCAGCATCATCATCATCATCCTCATCCTCATCCTCATCATCATCATGATCATCATCATCATCGTCATCGTCATCATCATCATCCTCATCCTCATCCTCATCCTCATCCTCATCCTCATCCTCATCATCATCATCATCATCATCATCATCATCATCATCATCTTCATCAGCATCAGCATCAGCATCAGCATCATCAGCATCAGCATCAGCATCAGCATCAGCAGCATCAGCAGCATCAGCAGCATCAGCAGCAGCATTATGATCATCATGATCATCATGATCATCATGATCATCATGATCATCATGGCCATCATCATCATCATCATCATCATCATCGTCATCATCATCGTCATCGTCATCATCATCCTTCTCCGTCTCCTCTTTCTCCTCCACCTCCTCCTCTTCCTCCTCCTCGTCCTCATCTTCCTCCTCGTCCTCCTGCTCCTCCTCCTCCTCCTGCTTCTCCTCAGCCTCCTCCTCCGATTTTGGATCGGCACTGCCGCCCCATGGTGCGCGGAGCGCGCTGGGGGCGGCGCCGGAACCGCCGCCCGGGGCATCCAGCGCCCATCCAAAGAGTCCGCGTGGAGCTCCGCAAGAGCATGCTTGTGCCGACCTTGTTTCTTCTTCGACTCCTGCTGGGCTCCGGGGTCTCCGGGGACTTCTCGCCGCCCGCAGCAGCGCCCCGCCGCCTCCTCTGCCAGCCCTGCACGCGGGCCTCGACGGAGCGGCGCACGCTGCTGGAGCAGCCGCCGAGCGTCTCCAGAGCCACCACGCACAGGCAGAGGGCGAAGGAGGCGAAGACCGGGGGGAGGAGCAGAGACAGGTACAGCTTCGCGTAGCCATCGTACTCGGAGAAGAGAGAGGCCAGGAGCTCAACCTTGACCGTGACGGTCACGTACCAGGCGGCCACGGCAAACACGAAGCCGAAGAAGGTGATGTCCAGGAGTGTCTTCTGGAGCCCGTGGCCGGCTTTCAGCTGCGTCCTGCTGTACCAATCGAGCCAGTTGTTACCGTTGTTCTCAAGGAAGAATGCGCACAACGCCCTTGCGTCCTCCTGGAAATGCCTGAACTCAAACTGGTACGGGTTGAAGATGAAAGGGCCGTAAAGCCACGAGATGAGCACCAAGGCGCAAGAGACGAAGGCCCAGGCAAGCGCGGAGAGGCCTTCGCTCGGGATGCCTCCCGCGGCGACGACGAATGCGAGACCCACCAGCAACATCGCGCCGTCGTAGTACGCGATGGCGGCGTAGTCGAGGTACAGGCCGCCCACCGTCTTCATCTTGAGGAAGCCCTCCGACCTGTCCTTCATCTCCCCAACGAAGGGTCGCCGCTCCGTGGGAAGCCCGCGCCCCGTAGCGACATATGTGGCGCCGCCGTACCGGAACTCGTTCACAATGTAGTGGCCGATGCACTTCGACTGGAAGATGAAGAGGAAGGGCGACAGCGTGAGGTAGCTCTGCGCCGTCTTCCACACAGCGGTTCTTAAGCTCCTCTGCATCCACAGCTCGGCGAACAGCGGGAAGGAGGTCGCGAACAGGAACAACAGCATGAGCCACGAGTAGCACTTCGCCAGCGCGGCCGCTATCACGGACGCGGCAGACTTTTGGTCAGCCTCGCACATCGTGAAGGCGTCAAATTTGCCCTCGCAGTCAGCAAGGAGAACCAGCAGCCAGATCCAGACCAGCAGGGGCATGGACCAGGAGACGATGAACTGGTTGAGGTAATACCCTGCGTGTGCGTAGAAGAACGTGAGCGCCTCTGGCAGGTGCAATACCTGCCCAAGCCGGAACGTCTGCCGCGTCAGGAGCTGCTCGCCCGTGCCCGAAGACAGCTTGGAGAAGAAGCCCAGTACCGTGTTGAAGCCCAAGTCCCTCCCCTTGGCAAAGTTGAGGTACTCACAGTGCTTGATCTGGCGCCCGTCACCACGCAGGGTAAAGTCCATGCCTGCGAATATGTCCTCCGAAAGGTTCAGCGTCTTCGTTGCTTTGGACACGCCTCCCTGCTGCATCATGTAAAGCTTGTTCATGATGTCGGGGTGTCCGTAATGCATTCTGGCGCCTAGGACAGTATAGGTGCGCTGAAGGATGGTACCGAAAGCCACCTCGGCCGAAGCTGCAAAATCGCCCACCGAGCCTATGTCGCTGGTTATGTGTTCAGGGAAACCTATGATCTTCTTTCCGCTCCCGTCTCCGCGCTTGCGGGAGCGAAACTCCCCGAGTGCGCATGGCAGTAACATCATCTGCTCAAAGTAGGCGCCCTGATTGGCATCGATTCCCTGCGAATAGTGGCCGCGCATAAACGGAATGGCGTGATTTTGGTTGTCACCCTTGCCGTCTCCGAGGATAGGGTATCCTGGCAGCTCGATCCGAAACTTCGGTTTCCTCTTCGCGCCCTCCAGGGGGCAGGTTTTGTCGATAAGACAGCTGTAGTAGCGCCGCTTCTGCCTCTCGTGCACTCCGTCTGCGCTCCCCGCGGTGCCTTTGGCCTCGCAGTCGATGTAGGCAACCTTGAGGCACTTGGGGAACTTCTCGAACATGTAGTTGGTGTGCTCCAGCATCGTCTCGTCGAAGAACTTGTACATCTGCATGGAGACCAGGCACGTGAAGACGTCGCTGGGGTCCCACACGGCGGCGAGGGAGCTGCTCCTGTCCCCCTGGAGCTCGAAGTGGGCCTGGATCGCCGGGTGGTAGTAGCACATGCCCGCGACGGTGCGGAAGAGGGTCTGCTGCCTCATGGCCGCCCAGCTGCTCACCTTGCCCCACTGGTAGTCGGTGTACTTCTCCCACTCGGAGCCGACCACGGCCCACGCCTCGCCGTGCGCCTGCCTGGCCTGCATCCGCGTCGTGAAGAACTCGAACTCCTCCCGGTACCTGTGCGCGAGCCAGTCGACTAGCGGCACGTTGTCGCTCTTGGCATTCCTGAACAGATCCTTCTTCTGCATCAGGATGGTCTCCCCGTAGTGCGGGATGAGCACCGTGATGCCCGGAATGTAGGGCGCCCTGTAGGGCCGGGGCATCGGCAGCCCGAGCCCGCGCGACAAGGCCAGCACGCGCCACTGCACGTCGGCGTTCCGGGGCCAGTGCTTGTCGGGCACGCCTGCGTACGTCTGCAGGCACCTCTCGGCGAAGGGACTCTGGACGAAAATGTTGGGCACCCTGACGCGCCTCTTCCCCCATGCGTCCCCTGTCTCGAGGTCGGAGTCGCTCGATCGGCTGCTGCGGGCACTCTGCGAGCCCGCGCTGGGCCCCCCCTGCCTGGACTGCCCGACGGGCGCAGTGAGGTCCTCCCAGTAGACGTGGTGCCCCGTGGCACCCACCTCGAAGGACATGTCCCCCATCTGCGCGCTGCTGACCTTGTCCTCGTAGCGCATGTACTCCATGATGCGGTCCCAGATGGCCGGGAATTTCGGCGACAGGGAGGCGGAGGCGGATTCAGAGGGACAGCAAACTGCACAAGCATAAACTGTCGCAGCTCCGCGCGGATTTCTTAGGTCAGCACTGGACCCCCTTCCGGGCGCGCGGAGCTCGCCAGGTGCTGCGCCAGGGGGGGGGGGGTCCAGCGCAGATCCAAGAGATCCGCGAGGAGCTCCGAAAGTTCACTCCCCAAACTGCGCTTGCACCAAGGGGTTCTCGCTGGCCTTCTGAGGAACGGGGTCCGTTTGCCGCCGTGGCAGCCCCGTTCCCTTTGCCATACACGAAGGGCCCGTCTGCCGCCGCGGCGGCCCCGTTCCCGCCCGTCGCCGCCGCCCCGGGTGCACCCCACCCCATCGCATCGCAATCGCATTGCATTGCGTTGCAGTCGCACTGCGTTGCCTTGCGTTGCAGTGGCATTGTGTTGCACTGCTCTGCAATCGCAGTGGACTGCAATCGCATTACCTGGCTATGCAGTCGCATTGCATTGCCTTGTGGTATTGCTTTACAGTCACCTTGAATTGCAGCCGCATTGCATTGCTTTGCAGTCGCATTGCATTGCCTTGCGGTGCATTGTGTTACAATCACCTTTATTTTGCAGCCGCATTTCGTTGTATTGCATATGCATTGCATTGCATTGAGTTGTTTTGCTTTGCCTTGTTTTGTGTTGCACTGGTTTGCATTGTGTTACATTGCGTCGCAACGGCTTGCATTGCTTTGCACTGCTCGGCATTGCTTTGCATTGCTTTGTAATCGCATTGCATTGCTGCGCATTCCGTTGCATTGAGTTGCATTGCTTTGCTTTGCGTTGCATTGCGTTGCATTGCTTTGTATCGCGCTGCACTGCTTTAAATTACGTTTCATTGCTGCACATTGCTGCGCATTGTCTTGCAGTGTGTTGCATTGCTGTGCGCCACCTTTCAATGCGTTGTATTGCGTTGCATTGAACTACATTGCTTTGCATTCCTTTGCATTGCGTTGCGTTGAGTGGCGTTGCACTGTCGTGCATCGCTTTGCATTGCTTTGAATTGGTTCACCTTGTGTTGCATTGGTTTGTATTGTTTTGCAATTATTTGCTCTGGTGTTGTATTGTTTTACACCGTGTTGCTTTGGCTTGCATTGCGCTGCACTACTTCGCATTGCACCACATAGACTGCACCACATGGATTGCACCACCTAGATTGCACCACATTGATTGCACCACATTGATTGCAACTGGCTGCAACACATTGATTGCACCACATTGAATTGCACCAGACTTGTGTGCCGTGCTTTGCGTTGCATTGCAATGCTGTTCCTTGCTGTGCATTGCGTTGCATTGCTTTGAGCTGCTTTGCACTGCTTGGCGTTGCATTGCATTGCGTTGCATTGCGGTGCGCTAGTTTGCATTGCTTTGCATTGCGTTGCCTTGTTTTGCGTTGCGTTGTGTTGTTTTACCTTGTGCTGCATTGGTTTGCATCGCTTTGCACGGCTCTGCGCTACATTGGTTCAACCACATGGATTGCACGACCTAGATTGCACCACCTTGATCCCACCACCTAGATTGCAATATATCACAGCTTGGGGCCCACGCTGGCTAACATGTTCATACCGTTTGCTCTCCTTCGATGCTTCTCTGCTCGTCGAGACGTACCACAGCACCTTCTGCGAAAAGCGCTGCGGGATCTTAGCCACGGCGTCCTCGAACATGAAGGTGGCGCAGGGGCAGCCGTCCCCGTTTCTTGCCAAGTGCCTCTGGACAAGCGTGGTGGCGACGCCCAGGAACGTGCAGAAGACCGTGAACCAGAGCTGCGTGTCCGCAAGGTAGAGGAAGAAGGTCGCGCACCACAGCACGATCCAAATCATCACGTCGTTGCCCCACACCGCGCTGAAATACACCTGCTCGACCTCCTCCACGGACTGGTGGCCCGGGCGGCTGATCTGCAGGTCCCGCATGGCGTCGCTGATTGCCCGGATGATGATCAGCCCGAGCAGAAACTTGACCGCGAGGACGACGCCCCAGAAGCCGTAGCGCAGGGCGCGGCTGCACCACGACACGGCGACGGGGCTCTCAAAGGGGAACCGGCTGTAGCTGGTCGAGGGCACGAGCAGCAGGGACAGGAGGCCGTAGGCGGACAGCAGGTAGTGGAGGACGGCAACGTTGCCCCCGCTCAGGAGGGCCTTGGGGACCGCACGATTTATATATATATATATATATATATATATATGTGTGTGTGTACGAATGTAGGTAGGTGTGTGAGTATGTTGGTTCGTTCGTTTGTTTTTTTCTGCATTTATATATATCTATATATACATGCATGGACAGCCCCCTCTCCAGCACCAATTCTACGCCTTCCTCTTTTCCACGAAGCTGGAGTTGTGCCGCTCCCCTCCTTTCTCCCTTCCCTCTCCGCTCCTTTTCTTCTTCGCTGTTCACCCGCATCCGCCAACAGTGCATTTTCAACAAGCGCCAACGTGACAGATGCCAGCGTCTGCTTCCTCTACATAGAGGACAGCAAGCGCGTGAGCCATCCTATTGACGAGAAACAACCAACAAACCCTGCGATTTCACTTGGATTCTTAGGATTTCTGGGAGACTAATCAACGAAACCATGCGAGTTCATTTGGATTCCTGGGGCTACTGGGATTTCATACCCTGGAGCAAAACCAACCTTGAGATCTCCAGGAGGTCCAGGGCTCAGAATCCCAGGAATCCAAATGAAACACAGGGTTCGCGACGTCGGTGATGCGCAAACCTTGTGATTTCATCCGGATTCTTTGGGTCTCTAGGATGCTAATCATCGAAACCTTGTGATTTCAACCCTGGGGTCACAAAAGGCCAGGGCTGAAAATCCCAGAAATCCCAGGAACCCAAATGAAATCCCAAGATTTCGTGGATTTGCATCTGAGAAATCCAGGGAATCCCAATGAAATCACTGGGTTTGCGCATCACCGATCGCGCGAACCCTGAGATTTCGCCGGAATTCGTGGGATTCTGAGCCCTGGACCTACTGGGGATCCCAAGGTTGGTTTTGCAGTCCCAGGAATGCCAGTGAAATCACAAGGTTTCGATGATTTGCATCCTAGAGACCCAAAGAATCCGGATGAAATCACAAGGTTTGCGCATCACCGACGTCGCGAACCCTGTGATTATATTGGGATTCCTGGGATTCTGAGCACTGGACCTCCTGAGAATCCCAAGGTTGGTTTTGCTCCAAGGCTTGAAATTCCCAGAAATCCCCATGTGAACTCAGAAGGTTTCGTGGATCTGCATCCCAGAAAGCCCAGGAATCCCTATGAGATCACAGGGTTGGCACATCACCGACGTCGCGAACACTGCGATGTCGTTGTAATTCGTGGGATTCTGAGCCCTGGAACTACTGGGGATCCCAAGGTTGATGTTGATCCAAGGCTTCAAATCCCAGGAATCCCGGGAATCCCAATAAAACCACAGGGTGTCGTTGATTTGTTTCCCAGAAATCCTATGAAACCCAATGAAATCACAGGGTTTGCGCATCACCGACGTCGCGAACCCTGTGATTTTATGGGGATTCCTGGGATTCTGAACACTGGACCTCCTGGGGATCCCAAGGTTGGTTTTGCTCCAAGGCTTGAAATCCCAGGAATCCCCGGAATCCCAGTAGATGAGGAAGAGGAGGAGGAGGAGGAAGATGGGGAGGAGGAGGAAGAAGATGCTGATGAGGCGGAAGAGGAGGAGGAGGACGGGGAGGAGGGGGAGGAGAAGAGTGACGAGGAGCAGGAGGAGGAATACATACAGGCGGCGAAGGAAAATAATGGACGAGTAGAGGGATAGTAAGACGAGGTGGAGTTTTGGATCAGGACATGTTCAATAAGGAACCCACGGTCTCGCCACGAATCGGCGACCTGTTGTGGACTACATCGCCCACTTCGCCTCGCAACAAAGGAATCCACCCATGTCTGGCCCTCCAGATGACGTTCCTTGTTCAACGCCGCCGCTGTAGGACGAGAACGGGATCGGACAGTAAAGAACATGCGAATGCGAGCAGCGCGCATCGCAATGACAATCAATTGGTGCTGGGGGAGGGCTGCACTATATTGGATATATGTGTGGTGTGTGTTGTGTGTTGTGTGTTGTGTGCTGTGTGCTGTGTGCTGTGTGTTGTGTGTTGTGTGCTGCGTGTTGTGTGTTGTGCGTTGTGTGTTGTGTGGTGTGTGGTGTGCGTGTGCGTGTGCGTGTGCGTGTGCGCGTGCGCGTGCGTGCGTGCGAGTGCGTGTGCGTGTGCGTGTGCGTGTGCGTGTGCGTGTGCGTGTGCGTGTGCGTGTGCGTGTGCGTGTGCGTGTGCGTGTGCGTGTGCGTGTGCGTGTGCGCGTGTGCGAGTGTGCGCGTGTGCGCGTGTGTGTGTGCGCGTGTGTGCGCGTGTTTATGCGTGTGTGCGTGTGTGCATGTGCGTGTGTGCGTGTGTGCGTGTGTGCGTGTGTATGTGTGTATGTGTGTATGTGTGTGTACGCGTGTATGTGTGTATGTATGTATGTATGTATGTATGTATGTATGTATGTATGTATGTATGTGTGTATGGATGTATGTATGTATGTATGTATGTATGTGTGTGTGCGTGTGTGTGTGTGCGTGCGTGCGTGCGTGCGTGTGTGTGTGAGTGTGTGTGTGTGCGTGTGCGTGTGCGGGTGTGCGGGTGTGCGTGTGTGCGTGTGTTCGCGTGTGCTTGTGTGCGCGTGTGTGTGTGTGTGGGTAGGTGTGTGGGTGTGGGTGTGTGGGTGTGTGGGTGTGTGGGTGTGTGGTTGTGTGGGTGTGTGGGTGTGTGGGTGTGCGGGTGTGCGGGTGTGCGGGTGTGTGGGTGTGTGGGTGTGGGTGTATGGGTATGTGGGTGTGTGGGTGTGTGGGTGTGGGTGTGTGGGTGTGTGGGTGTGTGGGTGTGTTGGTTTGTGGGTGTGGGTGTGGGTGTGGGTGAGGGTGTGTGTGTGTGTGTGAATGTGTCAATGTGTGTGTGTG